TAAACCGGAGTGTGTGGATTTCTTGCGCGCACGTCTATAAAAACCGCTGCATCGATTACACTAGTCGTGAGATATACAACACACATCATAGTATGCCAATAATTCATCAAACCCTTTGATCACGCCCCCGTATTTTTGTTTTCCACTTGCGTTTGATGTAAACGTTGACGTGCCACACCAGTTATGACTGCTGTTCAAAATAAACTTTAGTGCATCTATAGAATCCTCGAAAATTGTGAATGTCCTTCTCGTAAAAGTTCCCTATACACTTTTGTGATATGTCGTGCACTTTCAGAAGCCCCTGCACCTGCACTCACCCATGATGCATTCAGAAATCTCGCTCCTTTACTCAGTTTAATAGCAAGCAACCGTTCAACGTCTTCCGCCACCGGAGACAGTATGATCATTGGAGTGCAGTATCGATCCTTCCTCGAACTGATCAGGGAGAGACCAATGATCTATTTTACCAAAGCACTGCGAGAAAGCGCACATACAAGAGCTTCTCTTAAGAGTATGTCTCAAAGTGTGCTCGAGACAATATTGCTCGGACGTCGGCCGAGAGCAGTGTCCCGCGGCCAGTTAGCAAACACGCTTGCTTTTTCCCGAGAGATCTACTTGCGGTGCTATTTAATAACACTGCGAGATTATCTATACACTAGCGCACTGTTCGCATCCTAGGAACAACAAAGCCACAGCACAACACACTCGTGAGAACATTCAGCAACAGCGGACGAGAAAGCAGCGGGTAGAGAAAAGAATGTGAGGCACTTTCTGGAGGCGTCCCGTCATTTCGCTCGACATTACATCGTCTGCTTTGTTTGATTCGGCAGAAAACGGTTGCACGAAGACAAGCGCACAGCAAGGGGATGGTGCCATGAAAAGCGTCCATGTATTGCGTTTACCGCGCCTTTAATCCCCCTCCCCTTTCGATTACATTCTGTTGGTGACATCACAAGTGCTTAATGCTCTGGATCGCTGCCATCCAGGCAGTGGCATAGAGGCAGACCTATGGTCACGGAAAACGCAGCTGGTCTGCTGTACCTTGCTATGCTGTCCGCCAGTCTGCGGAAATTATATCAGCCGCAATGTGAGACGCTTCAGGGGCCTCATGATGACTGGCGACGACCGCGACACTCGTGTCCACTTGCCAGCGCTTCCGCCACCAACAGCCAGGATCGCGACGATCTATAGCATACCCGGCAGCTCTTTATGCCACACATTGCTGCCGCTTCGCAAGACACTCCGATGCTTGGCCAAAAGGGGACGCTCAAAACACAAGTCAGGGGACGCGTTCCGGGCACCATAGAGCGAGATGAGTATTCTTTACCTTTACATGGGTCAAAAAACAATAAAGACTATAATTTATTTACTTTTATAAAGTCCTCTTTTAACCGTCAGGTTTGTGCAAATCAGCTAAGGATAACTTTTTCTAATTAATTTTTAAGCACATTGTTTTAAACAGACGTTTGGTGAAACAAGCAATATCAAACACTCGAGACGCTTGCGCAGTTTCCCCTTTACTAATAACTGCAAAATAGGGCCCAGACAGCAAGGAACGTCAATTGGTCGAATGCTTTTTTAAGTGCTAGGAAATCATTAACCCAAATTTCATATCCATCACCTCCAATTTTTTTCTTAATTTTTCTTTCCTTATTTTAACATTATGAGCATATTTGTTTCGTCTAGCGGTCGACCAAAGCAACAGCGTTTTCAAAGCCACGCTTATGTTCTTAAAGGGGCACTGACACCCCAAAGGTCGTATTTATTTTTATTGTCTAAAACGATGCAAGTTGCAGTCATAAACACGCAAAAAAAACCGCATCGCGAAAAAACATTTTCCCGCGCGCGCGGGCGCCTTTTTATTTTTGGCGTTTGATTTTCCCGCCTCTCGCCTCCTCGCTTCTTTTGATCGGTGACGTCAAGAATCATGAAATTTAGAAGCTTTGTAGGCGACATCTCTATAACATTTAATTACGGCAATCCTAAAACATGTTTTTTAACGCAATTGCGAACGCACTACGGCCCTTCTTTTTGAAATACCAAAATCGGGAGTTCGTTGTGGTGCCGTCTCCTGGATTTGTATCCCCCAACGGAAAACAGGCGACACCGCTCAAAACCGGTCCGCCGGAACGCCGCCGCTCGCTCCTTTCCCCCTCGCTTTGGGTCGCCATGGCAACAGCAGGGAGTGGTGAAAGAAAGGGGACTCTCAGGTCTCCGCAGTTTTTGACGTCAAGGCACCGGCGCCGATCGCGCGGGAACTTCGAATTCGGCATTTGGAAATTGTTTTTTTACATCACGAATACTGAATTCCCAAATTTCAAATTTTGAGGGTAATGTCCCGGCATCGTTTTCAATCGTTTCGGATAATAAAATAAATTACGATTTTGATGTGTCAGTGCCCCTTTAACTCCGATTTGCCGATATAAAGAAATCAAACATTCGACGCTTTATTTCTAGTCTTTGACACTTGTCTACCAGAAACGCACATCAAAACTAGAATCGCATGTCTTATACGGTCGTCCTTTAACTCTAAAGGTATAGGCCCATTTTGTTAAACTCCATCAAATACACACACTTTATTCAAGCATGCCTGTTACCAGAACCTTCCTCGTATACATAGACTGGTATGAGGAAGAAAACCCAATAAATTCCAAAAATGCGAAAGTCTAATTGTTACGTCTTTTGTTATTGACCATCCCGTATTCGCTGCAACATATGAAAAACAAAACAGCCACTTAAGACACCACTTTTAATAAAAGGTTCTTAGTTAGAGTTTTAGTTGCGCGACGCAGTCGTGCCTAGATTGTCCTACAGAAACATCCGCAAGTTTGACTGAGAGTGCGTTGCGCTAGCGACGCCACACGCGCTCTCACAATTCTCTGAACGACTGCATGCCACGATGCGTTCAAAAGACCAGCCACTGCCCGTCCTTCAATCGGTTCAGCCAGTGAGAATGGCGATCGGTATCTCGGTCCAATGTTCATGCAATATCAGTGTAAAAAAAAATGATGCACGTGAATCACTAAAAACTGCAAGTCCATCCTAGAGGGATACGAGTTAGTCTTCTTGTTGGCTAAGCTGGTTAAAGGAACGCAAATGACTGGTGTTCCGGCTGCATCACGCTACACTGTAGCGCATCGGAAATTCCGAAATCACTGAGAGCTTAAGGAATGCGGGGCGCAGCTTGAGTTCACACTTCAGTTGTGTCGTGATTCGTTTCCTCGGCGTTCTTATTGTCTTATTCCGAAATTTCCTTGGCTGCAGAGAGATGATAATAAGACACTCGGGGACTCACCCCGCCCCACGTTCCTTTAGCTGTCGGTTATTATAACTGATTTATAATAACTGAGTTATAATAACTCATTAACTGAGTTGTCGGTTATTATAATGCAATCCACTTCGTGGATTGCGATTAAACACTTTCTTCTCACAGCCCCGTCTCCAAGACTCATCAATCCCCAAGCATCAGTTCTGAACAATCTCTGAAGTCCCCTCCGCAAAGTTGACTAAGTAAGCCCTCTATATTACAGTAACTGAGAAGAAACCCTCGGATACACCTGTGCCATTTCTCATTTGAACTCATCACACGGCTCTTTTTTTGTTTTAGTGTTTGCTTTTCTTTTTTGGTTTGACGGACGACTTCTCGGCCTCCGGGGCGAAGAAGTAACGGAACGACAAAAGAAGCCTATGTACACAGATAGAACACTGAAAACTCAGTTCGTGCACGTCCGAGTATCTGTACAGGTGACTATGTTACACATTGTTCGTGGGTCGGGGTCGCCGAGCACTGGCCGTCCGACGAGCGTCGACGTTGCTGCTTCCGAGTGCCGCTGTGCCCGCTGCTCGCATGATTCGCGTCACCAGCGGTTCACATTGAGTTCTTCCACGGTGGGTCGGCGTGTCGCGCTCAATATTAAGGGAACATCATTCCATTAAACGGGAATCGATGTTGCTAAAACGTTCTAACGCAAGTGTAGCGCTTGTTAACTTATAGCTTATTGGCAACTTGATGCAAATCCGCACGCGAGTCTATAGAAATATTCCAACTTAACGAATTTCTAATCCTGATGTAGTGTAGCTAAGTTTGTCGTTTCCCTATTTTCCACCGCGCACGTTTTCAAGATAGTATAATAGCTGCCCTCAAAACCGCCCGCCCATCTATTTTCCCACAGAGCTCAGATGACGATGTAGAGAAGTCTCTAAAACGCAAACTGCAAAGGTCAAATGGCTGTGACGTGTCACGTGCGCGTAGTCCTTGCGCAGACAAGGTTTTTCTGTATTTTCTTCTTTTTTTTTTTTTAGTTTCCTGTGCTTTGTTTTCTGTTGGGACCCTTTCATAAATAACAACCTCTTCTACGATAATGTAGTGATTGCGCAGGCGAGCTGGTGGATGTTAACCATTTTGTTCTTAGCCCGAGACTGAGGCAGGAAAAGAGGAAAGTTTCGAAGTAGAAGAAAAATTAACAGTCGAAGACACGTCTCTAAACAGTCGAAGACACGATTAGAGACGTGTCTTCGACTGTTCATTTTTCTTCTACTTCGAAACTTTCCTCTTTTCCTGCCTCAGTCTCGGGCAAAGAACAAAATGGTTAACCTCTTCTACCACATTTTACCCATCGTCATTCTTCAAGAAATAAATCCGTAACCTCAGGGATTGGCCCAAAACGTGCTCTGTGGAAGAGTAGATATGCAGGCGTTTTGTTAAAAGTGTTTCCAGAAGAGCGCTGTTAGAGAAGTCGGTTGTAGAACGAGCGATCCCCGCACTTTTGTAGTTCCCAAACCCGCACGCCCTACGCGGGTCCACGAGCCGACACGCCGAGTCACCGCGGAAGAAGACGGCCGCACCCGGAGTCGTCCACGTCGACGGCCAGGCGGACCCCGCCGGCGAGGTCCGGTCCGGACCTCAAGAGCTTTTGGGCGGCGCACTGTCGAAGAGGCGGTGTCGCCGCCACAGTCGCCGCCACGGTCGCCGCCACAGTCGCCTCCGGTGCGGTGGCTGGTCACGAGGACGAGTTGTCATCGTCGTCCCCCATGCCCTGCTGCGAGGCCGTGGTGTGATTGTAGAGCCCCTGGGCCATGAGCTGGAGGGCCAGCGGGTTGCGCTGTCCGCTCGCCTTCTTGATCTTGGCGCGCTTGTTCTGGAACCAGATCTTGATCTGGGACTCGTTGAGTTTCAGCTCCCGGGCCAGGTCCTGGCGCCGCTTCTCGGTCAGGTAGCGGTTCTCCGTGAACTCCTGCTTGAGCCGCGCCAGCTGGTCTGCCGTGAAGGCCGTCCGGGGCCGTTTCTCGTCCGCCTTCTTCTCCTTCTTCTTCATCCGCCGGGAACGGGGCCCTGCACGAGGGAGAAAAGAAGGGAACGTCTCGATTGAGTCACTTCCAGTGGGGAGGGGGTGTTCGGCGGCAGAGCGAACCTTAAGACGCAGTCCCACTCTCCATACTTCGTACCAAAGACACGGGGCTCACTGCAGGCATAATGGCAGAAGGATCTGCGGACACGCCTCACGTGCGTTCGAAGCGTATTCTCTTTAAACGCTTGTACGATTCAGACATGTCTGAAAACTGTTCTTTTACGGCCGATCTGGCAGAGCCGCCATACGAGAGAGAAACATGCCTTAGACAGTGTCTGCGGACTGTAGTTTGTATGATGTATTAGCGGCGTGACCCCGGATTAATGGGCCTCTGGCGACAGTCTCGAAAACTTCCTATTGGATACTGAATCATGATGCACTCAGGACCATAATTGCTCTTCCATTCATCAGCTTATGCCACGAGAAAAGCGAGCGTTATCGTGTGCAAATGGTCATACCAGATATCTGGATGGCAGATAGGAGCAGACATGTACGTAACGTGTTACAAGTAACGAGTTACTGCTACCTATAGTTGCTTTTTTCGGTAGCGAGTAACTTATTTAGTTACTTTTCATAGAAAAGGTACAAGTAGTGTACTTAGTTACTTTGAAGAGTAACGAGTAAAGGTATTACGTTACAATTTCAGGTGTAACGTGTACAACAACGTCTAAACAGCCTCGTTTTAATTCAAACCTGAGGATGCGTATATTGCGAGAACGCTAGGTGGGCAATTAGAAAACCAACTAAACGGTATGACAGCATACCAACGTTTATCGCTGAACACGTCAGTCGAACTCTACAGCTGGGATTGTCCTTCACCCAGAGAACACAATAAGGTTCGCTAGTTGAACCTTCTAGAATCGTGTACAGGCCGAATGTAAACCCGGAGGTCGCCGACGCGGGAAGGCACACAACCCATTGTCAACGTCGGACTTTAGAAGCAGAGATAGCAAGAGAAAGAGGGGAATCCCAGATAGGCCATCTCCTTTTAGCACAACACTGCCGTTCATTCGAGCGCGTCCGTAGAACGACTCTTCTGCGCCGCCGGAGATGTATTTTCAATGAATAAGGGAAACAAAACTGATGAAAACTTCGAGATACAGCTTAAGTGCAACGACTATACTGAAAAGAAAACAATAAACCTTGAATCAGAAACAGCTGTCCATTCGATCGTCAGAGTAACGAGAAAATTAACTAGTTACTTCTGAAGTACAATAACGCGTTCCTTTTGAGAATCGGTAACGAGTGACGTATTTAGTAACTTTTTGAGCGAGTAACGAGTTACTGTATTTATTTACTTTTTTGGGGTAACGTGTAGTCTGCATAGAAGTCACCACTTTCGCCATACACTGAAAATGTATTAACAGTAAAGCGTGGTACTTTTCGTCCTGCTCATTTTCTAAACATGCGTAAAGTAAGATCAAGTAGTGGTGTAATGAGTGCGTTGTGGCGCAAGCATACACTCAAAGTATATTGAGATATTTCAGAATTGAGCTTGTTCTTCAGTCTTATAAAAACAGACCCTGACACGCTTCACAACCTGCGATACAAAAAAAAACTGACCGGAGCTGTATATTTGTGCTGTTTGCCCTTGGTAAATAGGCGTTGCAATTTATGAAAGCATAGTAGCTAGACCAACACATATAAGATTTACTTAATTTTAATACCTCTGGATATATGCTTAAAGCTATTACTTATTGCCCGGAGACTACGCAGGACAAAGAAGAAGACTACACAAGGTGCATTCGCAATTGTTGTCTATTCGGGAACAACACGTATAACATAGGCCCTATCAGCTTGTCTAGTCATCAGCATGTCGGTGCAAAACTTGTCTCATATAATCAAACTCTTTTCTTTCTTTTTTTTTTTTGCCTTCTTTTTTGAGTGCGATTGATGACTTACTTGTCCAATTTGCTCCTTTGTCTCAAATTTCGTATGACTCAGGAACGTCTCTGCTTGTTTTGTTTTTGTACCTGGCTAGAATCTTAATGTCACGTAAAATGGGCTTACACAGGCATCTGCTGCAGTGAATGGCGAGATTGTCAAGGCTAGCTGGCGTGGCAGCCGCATGCTCGCGTGCAATGTGATTCGCGCATCTGCACGTCTGGCCAATAATCATAGCGCCGCACGGCAGGGGTATCCCGTAAATAACACCCCACGCACACTAGACAGATTTAATTGTGTGCGTTTATGCTGCAATGATCAGACGACCGCTCGGGGCTGTTTGTTCTGTGGCAAAGCCGTACCATCTTGATAGGCGGCGAGAAAACTATGAGAGCGTTGGAGTGCTGGGTCACTTTCTTTTTTTTTTTAGAGCGCAGCTCTTAGGGGCCCGTTTCCAGCCTGAGCGGCGTCGGCGTCGGCGTAACCGGGGGGGTCAGGTGACCCCCCCCCCCGAGGTCACGTGACCCCCCCCCCCCAAGATCACGTGACCCCCCCCCCCGAGGTCACGTGACCCCCCCCCCCCCCCCGCCAAGATCACGTGACCCCCCCCCCCCCCCCGAGGTGACGTGACCCTCCCTCAGTACCCTTCCCTACTCCTCCTCAAGAGCTGCGCTCCAATTCGGCGTTACAGGGATTTGTAAACGGCTTTCATTTTTTTAATTGTGGTTTATTGAGTGTACGTACTGGATAACAGCAGGTCTGACATTGAGCCTCTCACGGGCGGGTTTCCTTGTGCCTCTTAACTTTTTCAACAAGTTTTCCGCTACCTCAGTTGAAACACCTCTGCGGAAAGCCCCTCTCTTGCGGCCGTGCAATCTGTAGCGCGAAGCTATCCTGTACGGCATGTCTGCAAGATTTCTTGAGAGAGGCCTCCAAGCACGTATTGGCAATGACTCGCGCAACCATAGGCGTATAGATTTTTTTTTTGGGGGGGAGGGGGGGGGGCATCAGAGCTCGTGCCCGCCCCCGCTCCTTCCCCCGGGCCCGGGCCATGATCCTTACCGAGACGCTGTTTACGTGCCATGTAACGAGCTTCTAGTAGTGGCATGTAAACAAAATAACTCCCACGTTGCCTTTATTGACAAGCTACATGGGAAATGGAATCCCAGCGTGCTTTCGTTAGCTTCAATCTCCATTTCTGGCGAAAAGATAACGCGCAGCACCCTCCCCCCCCCCCCCCCCCCCCCCCCCCCCGGGAAAATGGAAAGTCTACGCCGCTGCTCTCAACTAGTTTTGAGTGAGTCGACCCAAATGGTAGAATGCCCTTCTTGGATCTCGGTTCGTAAGACCAAGGTGTGTGGTCCGCACACGTATGGCCTGTCTCTTTCAATGGAATTCCTAAAAACGATCAAATTCAGAAGCCCTTGAGAATGAAATCGCATTCTTTTAGATTAATTCATTTAGATGAGCTTCAGTCTATTAAATTGGTGCTATAGCAGGTTTGTTCCGGCGCGAAACACGATGATATGGGCTTGTATATGGGTCGCTTGCCTGACCGCACGTGGCGAGGGCTTGAAGATTCAGTTTTCTAATAGGAACTCATCATATTATTTTAATTTTTGCTAAACGCGTATGGTATCAATAAAAACCCGTGCAGACGTAACAAATACAAATAGTGCCTTGCTTACATTAGTCAGCGCCCACCAAACCGGTTAAAACCAAAGGTTAGCACAACAACTCTGAAAACTATTAGTCTCATTCGCAATGATTAATTATCCTTGCCCTTCCGACGACGGTTATTTCCTGGGAATTTCTTTTTTTCTGTTATGCATGGTTATGTTGCAGTCTGGAGCAGTTCTTGTTTTTATATCTCATTGCTCGCGGAATAGTTACATACATGTTTTACTGCCATTAGAAAAATATTAATCAATTTTTTACAAAATTTTAAAAGAGACAGCGTATTGACACTATAGATATTATAAAAAAATGTATCCACTTTTTTATCCCTGTCTATAGTTTTTTGACCGTTTTTTTCTGTAGTCTTTCTATCGAGCACAGTGCACATAGAGATTGGATAGAAATTGGATATAAAAACAAATAAATATTTCAGCAACTACTTTATAAACAAATATCCAGTTTTTCACGTAAAAACAATTATGTACGTTGCTTTTCTTTAACATCTATGCAAACATGCAGTCGTCACATGACATGTGCACATACGCAAGCATCCCAGGTACACTCGTCACGAGGCACCCATAACACTATATTTCAATTGCGTTGGTTTCTTCAAAAGGCATTTGAACGAGGACCACCACAAACATTGAAAGTAATACAAGCATTCAGTTTTTTTCTTGCCAATAATTTGTATAAATTGTGGTTTCTCGGTGTTGGTTGACTGCATCGCAAACAATAAAACATAATAAGAGGCGATAATCATTTGGCACATGCAGTCTGGAGCACAATCTCCACAAGGAAGTTTCAACTGGGTGGGATGTTGGCTTTGCGCACTGCAACCTATTATTTTATCGAGTCTAGTCTATGTAAATTCTAGGCACATATGACGACAGAAACTCTTTTGAGACGTGGTGACAAAAATTATGTGGCCTCTCTATCGTCTTGTGCTCTATACAGACTTCAGTTGAAAGGAAGTCTATAAAACCTCTATTGAAAATGGTCGGTCTGGCATGACTAGACAGGAAGTTTAGAGAGTTATTCAGGTGTGAATTGGATTTTTATAGACTGCCTGAAATATTTTTGTAATGGAGCATGTTTACGGGATGACAAACAATCAATGCGCTCAATATTCAAAGAGAACGGCACAAGGGACCATTGGAAGTCCTGCAGGCGCTGTGCACGTTTCGCTTGATATAACACTCTCCACACATTCAAACTTCTGCCCTCCACCGTACACTCTGCATGTGTATAGCTGCAGTATAAACGAGATGCAATTCTATGACCTACTCAGCCAATTAGCCAACCTGTTGGCCGAGAAGTATAGCGCACCATTGATAACGTAGGCCTCTTTGGCTAAAACGTGCCCACCGGACCCGATTGTAGCCGCCTAAACTTAATCCCTTTAGAGTGTGATATCAATATCC